TGACTGGCACAAACGGGGCACTTTGGCCATGATGACCTTACTCATGACTGGCACAAACGGGGCACTTTGGCCATGATGACCTTACTCATGACTGGCACAAACGGGGCACTTCGGCACTTAAAGGTTAAGAGAATAATGTAGGATGTTGTATGTGTTCCTTTGAGGTCACTGGCACAATATTATTAATGTACATATGCATGCCCAAACTAAAGATAAGGATGATGTACAAATATGAACTCCCGATTACACGGTCTTCTACAGTTCCTACTATGTCCTTCCTCTTGGGAACAAATATTCTCTTAAACATCCTGTTACAAACAATGAATCTATGTTCTTCAACAAGGGTGACAAACCACATTTCACAGCCATAAAAAACAAATAAATTATAATTTTGTATATTTTAATCTTTACATTTTATACATGGGAAAGATGACAAACTATTCTGAACTGAACTGTAGCAAGCACTCCTAGAACTTAATGTGGTCTTAATTCTTTTTCAATGCACTTTTGATTTGTTATGTCCAAACGATTTGTAAACTGGCTTTACATTACAATGCTCAGAGCAGTACAAAAACGATGACAAAATTATTAAAATTTTCAGAAAATAAGTAGTTCAATGTGACTAACCTACAAGCCCTGAAAGGAAATTAAACAACTCTGTAACTTATTCAGAACATTTCTATTGTGTCTGTTGGAAAACAGAGCATGGATATTAAACAAAAGGGGGATTAGGTGAGAAATCTTACTATGTAAATAAACACCTTCTCCCTCCCATCTCTCTGAGCATTTAAAGTTAAATATAATAAAACTAGAAAAATTAAACCCTCAATCTGGGCATTTAAATGGACTGTGTTGCCCTTATGAGTAGGATTTAAAGTAGGATCTTTTTTCAGTTCTATTACAAAGGAAGTATTCGTTTTTACCACAACGCTTAGACAAGATCCATAGGGATGAAACCCCACCCCCCACTGGTCAATTTGTTTGGTCTGACATTTAAACACATGATGTTCATATAGAAAATTCCTTCAATCTGTGCAAACATAGCATGTGGTACCTCTGAACACTCTAGTGAATTCCAGTTATGGTATGTACAGTAACCATTAAAACAGTCCATGGAATTAATGAAGACAATACAAATTCAAGCTGAAACCATCCCAGTACACAAAACAGCATGGAATTTTGGACTGTTCCATTAATCTGGAAACATTCAAAGTGACACAGTTATTAGATAAACTCACAAAATGAAGGTGGGTACTTCCCAGACCCCAAAACGTCGTGAAGTCACAGCTCCCACTGTCTGTCTGTTCACACGGGCAACATTAAGACGGGTTCGAAGTTTAGCGCCCACAGCTTCCCAACGTGCTTGTAGCCTCTGGCACTCGACACAGTCTGTACTGTAGCTGAAAACGCAGAACCAGCAGCATTTATCTTCCGGTACCAGAAATCAAAGGTTCAACACCTCTAAAAGGAGCAACTTCAATTCAATTTACAACTTCACAACTTATTTTCATAATTTTAATGTTAACTTCCATGTTATCATTAATTTTGTCATCAATATTAGCATTTTATAAAATGTTATTTTCCTATCTAATTCTAGGTTTTCAAAGTAGTATTTTGTAGTGAGGTTTTCAAAATACAATTCTGATACATTTCATGCTATATATTCCAGCCATCTCATCATCCTTGATTTAAATGCTTTAAAAAGAGTATAAAACAATACAAATTATGCTCTGCAATGTGGAATAATCTCCATTCTCTCATTCCCATCTCTAAGGTTGAAATATCCTCTTCAGCATTTCACTTTCGAACACAATGAATGTTCATTCTCACAACAAAACCAGTCATAGCATGTCAAAACCTCATGTGAGAAACTTGCACATTAACTGTACCTGCTAAATAATGAACCCGTGCAACCAATGTTGTGAATATGCACAGCAAAAGGTTATTTCCCAGCAGTGTCACCAAATAGCTGTACTGTACAATGAATATCAACTTACAACATCACAAACCAATCTCCAGTTGTAGCTCCACTAGATGCTTGAGTAAGATGTTCAAAATTGTCATCGGAGAGCTCCCGAACGATAGGCTCCTTGTTTTCAGTAAATGTGTGAAGAATAAGCTCATCATTGGCAGGGCCTGTTCAAACCACACCAAATGTTACAGCAACTGAGAAATAATGTAAATGGTTTTAATGGGCAATCCCTTCCAAATATTTAGGTACTCTAAATAAAATTTATAAAATGAAGAATAACACATAAGCTGGGTATCTTTCCATATATCTGCATGTTTCGATCCAAAACCTTAAGATCACTGTTGATGATATCTGGTATGAGAGGCATGCCCTAATGTTGTCTAGTGATTTATCTTTCATTTTGCACACTTAATAAATATAAACAGGCATCCTTTCTCATATGACTATTATATTATAAAGAGCAAAGTAATTACATCAAAGAAATATTATATTCAATAATATTGTGGCGTGTTATATGTTGTCCATTGCTGAGCAACGAAACAATGGAAATTGTTGAGACTGTTGCGCAGGAATATCTGTAGCAATGAGTGTTCATTGTGTAACAATGCTTGGTAAACACCCATCCCAGCTATGCTGTAACGTCATGCAACATGGGAGTCCATGCAGCGACTGTTGCTAGGCAATCAGTAAACAAGTTTTCTGTGTGGTCAGGGCTGAAACTACATAACAACAGTACTCATCAGTGTTGATTCAGTGGAGGGTCCTTAGATGGCAGTGAGAAGAGAAGGGGTTTTGTGTGAGGTGGCATTCACATTTTAATTTTATACACTTGAAAAATAAGAATTGTATATTTTATTTATTTTCAGATAACAAGGAATATCACGTTTTTGTATGCTATGACCAGACAGATGCAAAGTTTGCTCTTGGAGTGTTAGTTCACACCCCGTGCGGAGGCGGGCTCGAATACCTCCACCGTGACCCTGCGAGTTGCAAAAGGTGACAAAAGGGGAAGTCTCAAATCTGGGACAGTAAAATATGGTCTCGAGTCCCAAGGGACTCATACCCGAGAAAGACTGCACTGGCAAGGGCCAGCAGAACATACAAAAGGCAGACCCGTCCTCTCGTTAGAGAGGGCGCCCCACAGAAACAAGACCGTAACTGTTAAAGGTAATAAATATCTGGTCATGAGCCCCAGATGGGGCTTGACACTGAGACTTACTGACTGATTGTCAGTTGCAATGTGACTTTGACTTTTTGTTGATTCAGTATTCAGTTGAAGCATAGCAGTTATGAGTTGTTGAGCTGTATCGAGTGAATGGAATCAAAACAGTTGAAGGCTGGAAGTGACTACAGCAGGAGAAGTAATTGGGACAACGAAATTTTGAATTATGTAATTGTGGATAAAAGTGTGCAATAATCGCTAGATCCAAGACCGGCATGAAGTTATTTGTCATGTCACATACGGCCAACACACAACAACTGGTGTCAGAAGTTAGAAATTTTCAATTAAAGTAGATTCATCTACAGAGGAGAAAGAGTAAGATGATTCTTTTAATGCTGGATCAAATAGTATTACTTCATAATGAAAGAATGGATCACTGGTTAACATGAAATTTAAAATACTTATACAGGTATCACATCTGTTACAGGTTATATAATTCCAGAGAAAATCATTCCTTGTTAAAAATGAATATGAATACAGCCAAGAACAGAATTACTTAAATGAAAGAGTAAAGTCTAGAGCCTTAGTATTGTAACGTGTTTTCGTTACTGATCCCACTTCTGACACCAGTGTAACGTGTCTTGCGTTACTGAAGACGCCGTAGAGATGGTTAATTGGTTTATTTAACAATCTACAAATAACGGCTACAATTAATTATCACACAGTTGCGGGGTTTCACACTTTATAACCCTAAGCGCATTAATCTGTTAACACTGTTGCGGGGTTTCACGATTTCTAACCCTATGCGCANTAAATGACAATTTATAACTGATGCATATTTAGGCAATAACACTGTCGATAATCCGTAACAACCTACATATGCACAGTTTCATTACAAAGTACAAGGTGGTTCAAATATGACCGGGACTGATTTGTGTGAACAAGGCGCACTGTGCAGCAGCTGTGCAACCTTGAGAGATTGAAGCCACAACCTCCACCCTCCCTCCTGTTAGGGTTAGAACCTGTTCAGTCCTGTCTGGGAGTTGCTAGAGTGATGAGCGAACAGAAGGTACCATGGAGCATGGAACAACGTATTGTGATCAAATTCCTCATTGGAGAAGACGTCCCGTCCGCTGAAATTCACCAGACTCCAACAACGGTATGGGGAAGTGTCTCTCACGGACCCGTGTGTTTGAGTGGTGTAAGTGCTTCAGAGAGGGCAGAGCGCGCGTGGAGAATGAACCGCATGATCGTCGGCCGCGAACATCTGTCACCGAGCCGAACAGTGATTGTGCAGATGCACTTATTCATGAGAACAGGCACATCACTATCAAGGAACTTGGAGCAATGCTGTCCATCAGTGTTGGTAGTGTAGAAGACACCGTGAAATATCACCTGCACTATCGCAAGGTGAATGCACGGTGGGTACCACGCACTTTGATGGACATGAACAAAATGGTGTGCATGCAAGCTGCCAGTCATCTCCTACACCAGTTTGAAGACAAAGGTGATGCATTTTTGAAGTCTATAGTGACCACCGATGAAATGTGAGTGCACTACTTCATTCTCGAGTCCCAGCAGTCATCACGCGAGTGGCGGCATACTAGTTCTCCTAAACCCAAGAGAGCGCAGAGGAGCTGTTTGGCAGGAAAAGTGATGGCAACGTTCTTCTGGGACTGGCAGGGGGTTATCCATGCAGACTTTCTGACAGATGCCAGAACAGTCAATGCAGCTTATTACTCAGACCTTCTGGCAATAGACATGAAGAAAAAGATCCGATCCAAGTGGAAGACAGGTGGAAAGTGAGTAGCCTTCCTTCAAGACAATGCATGCCCCCATAGAGCCAAAACAACAATGGAAACCCTCTGGAAATTGAAATGGAACCTTCTGACACATCCGCTGTACAGTCCCGATTTGGCCCCAAGTGATTTCTACCTGTTCAGAAGGCTCAAATCAGACTTGCAAGGCATGCGGTTTGTGGACAATGAGGCCATCATCCAGACTGTTCAGGAGTGGATACGCCGCAAAACCACAAGCCTTTTTTGAAAAGGGCATCAGGATGCTTCCAGAACNTTCAATTGTGTCATACACTTTTTCCACTTCATCATCTTCATACTCTGATGTTGGCATGTACACTTGTTGGCACGTTGGCATGTATGGTTTAAATAAAAAAAATCAGACCCGGTCATATTTGAACCACCTTGTAAGTGACTGGGAAGTCTATTTGTAACTGACTGAACATGCTATGTGACAAATGCAATTTTATGTACAGGAAGTAATGATGTCCATCATATCAGTTAAGGGGTCTTAACAGTCATCACGGCCATGTTACAATTTAACAAACTGCACATTCTCAAGACTGCAAAGATGAAGAAAGACATTTCCCAGTGGTCACACAGTTTATTTCCTAACACTATCAAGATGATGAGTGACAACACATATACACCATAAGAGAAAGTATTATTTTTTTTGCTGAAAATGCTTGAAATTACACAACTGACAACTAAAACACTTACAAGCATCAGTTACCTGTAAAACAAAACTTTACACAAAGAAATTGTAAATCCACAATGTACTTCCTTATGTGCTTTCAGTGACTCAAAATTTGAACTGGCAGAAAATGCTTATGGAATAACAGATTCTACACAGTTGTTCTGAAAAGAAATAATCTTAAAAACCTTTAAACTGCTTAACATTCTATGATAAAATATTAACCACATTTCACACAGTATCAATATTCACAGAATGAAAACACACTTAAACAAAAGACTGTCCATTCATTCATGATCTATTAAGACCGAATTTTATATGACAAGGCATAGTACGGTAATTAGAAACACCATAATTTTGCAGCTTTTGCAAAGTCTGATCACTAAATTGTAATTTTTCTTGTCATCAGGACAATGGTACTTTTTGAAGGAATGGTCATACGCCTCTGTATGTGCTTCCATTCACTCAGTTTCATATGAATGAAAAACATTTACAAAATTAAACAAAAGCTTCATTCGAATGAAAACTACAAAACCAACATAAAATGCAAAAACTGCCAACAATCTTATCAGATTGCTGACAGAAGTCTGCTAGCAGCACTGAATGCCCACATGGAACCATCTTTTGGCTTTATCTGGAAATGGCCAATTTTCAAAATGGTGACATCCCCGCAGCCATGCACCATGGTAGAAATGTAATCCTAACTCCAATTCTTGAATGCAGAAGGAATAAAACCTGCTGAAATTTATTGCAGAATGTTGGCTCATATCCACAAAAATTAGTTCCATGTCATGATTGCCTTCTTGGACTTTGTTGGCCATTAAACAACACATTAAGAGGGCACAATTTCTCATCAGATGGCAAGGTCAAGACTGTAGTCTCTATAAATGGCTACAGCAACAACCACAAAACTTCTTCTCTCAATAAATCCAGGCCTTTGTATTTGTAATTACTGTAAGTTCAAGAGATCCAAAGATGGATATAGAACATGTCATAAAATAATACTGGGTGATTCACGAAGTTTTACCACCACATAGGGAGGGCATTCCTGAGGTAATTTGGAACAAAAAATGTTAATATACTAATGGTATCCAACTCATAATTAAAGAGATACAGTAATTTGAAAATTCTTCGAATTTCAGTCAAAACAAATTAGAAATACAATACAAACACTTTTTAAATCGTTAATGTTTTAGGAAAGAAGCATTCTAAAACCAAATTTTTCTTTTCAATTTCTTAATTTTGCATTGTGCAACATTTTTCATCGATTTTATGTACAAAATTACATTATTTTCAGCATCCCATTCTGTAAACATACCAATGGTTGCATATCACACCCTTCTATCAATCTGTTTCCTTTAAACTGTAGTGCTTTAGAAGACGACTGGATTTACATAAGATTTTCAAAAATGTCTCCCTGCACGTCAACACAACGCATAGCACATGTATGAACCATGCTCATAGCATTTCGCAGTTCCACACGTTTGTTCCTTATTGTCATCGCCGCGTCCAGAATACGTTCAAGCAACGCTTCACGTGTTTGTACCTTTACCTGGTACACAATGTCCTTCATCCAGCCCCAAATGCAATAATCTAACGGCATTAGATCTGGCAACCTGGGAGGCCAGGCGTTATGGCCTCCACGACCAATCCACCGCTGTGGGAAATGCCGATCCAAGTGAGCTGCTACTGCATGGGAGAAGTGAGGAGGCGCCCCATCATGCTGAAAGTACATCCGGCATCTTGTTGCCAGAGGAACATCTTCAAGTAACTGTGGTAATTCTTCTTCTAAGAAGTGGAGGTAAATCTCACCAGTTAAGCAGCCAGGAAAAATGAACNTGCCATTGACTGAGAAACACCGAACCGCCGAGCTAGACATCTTGTACTGGCACGCGGACTGCGCTTTACAGCATCGAGAATGTTTTCTTCTTCGCACAATTCATGTTGAGGATTTCGTTCATATCGTATAAGAACGCTGGGGAGAGAACCAGTTTGTCTTAATGTGTTGAATGTATGGCTAATGGATTTAGGATTCGGAATCCTGCGATTAGGATAATGCCGGTGATATTCGGCAGCAGCGGCTCTTGCATTTCCATCACATACACCCAAAACAAACACCATGTCGGCGTATTCCTCAGTAGAAAATGTGTACGGCATGGTATCTTCACAAAGTTACCAACACAACGTTCTATTAACTACTGGATCACCTTTGCCTAGGATCGCGCAACATTCCAGCCGGTCTGCCTTATCAGCTGATACAGCTAACTGGAACGTAAGGTCGCCCAGGAGGGGAGCAGAGCGCTGCATTCACAATGATGCATTTCAAAAATCTATTGTTACTCCATAACTACTGAAAATCGACGAAAAGTTTATAAGGAAATTTTGCAGGAAATAACCCCAGGAATGTGTACCATAAGCTGGGGTAAAACTTCGTGAATCACCCTGTATAGAGCATAGAATACATACATAAATATTACATAACTAGAGAGTACAGTGAATACAATAATAATAAAAATTATCTATTTAGATATTCATCCACAGTATAAAAAGTATGAGTATTCAAGAAATGCCTTAATACAACCTTAAACTTTTTAAAATTATTAGATGTGTTCTTGATCTCTATAGGCAATTTACTGAATATCTTTATTCATATTTATTTCCAATTCCATAGATCTAGAGGGGCTAAAACGCCATCGGATGTGGAACAAGTCCCATACATGCATGGTTTAAAAAATGATTGAAACCAGTCAACACAATAAATTTTCTTATACATGATCAGACAAATTATAAAAACATGCAATATAACCACAATATTAATACACAACATAGTACATTTAAAAACATGAAGTTGACATCTTACAATCAAAATAATCAAAATTTACAGTCATAAAATCAGTAATTTCAATACTTTAAATATAGTCAAATTTCAAAATTCTGATTTATAACAATAGTATTCCTCCACACTGTAGAAAGAGTTGGTGGTCAGGAAATTCTTTAATGCCACTTTAAATTTAGGAATATCATATGATATTTGTTTAAGAGTTGATGGAATGTGATTGTAAAGTTTAATACCATAGCACCGTACTCCTTTCCTGCATACAGTCAGATATACCACTGGAAAATGCAAATCACAATTAGATCTTGTATTAAAAGTATGAACATCTGAGTTCATTTTAAATAAATCTTTATTATTAAAGACTTTTTCACAATAAATACTGCCTTGCATAAAATTAATACCCGCCAAAAATTGGACTTTCATGTTCCTTTAGTAATTCTAAC